AGGTGTTGATGATGACATTGACCATATCAACGACTCTGACGAAGCTTTAATACATTGTTTCACCATCATGCTTCAATTCCAAGATAGCTCTATCAATTTTGTTAACCATGACAACTGGCTTGATTTTCTCTTGCATAGCTTGTCTCAACACTGTTTCGGTTTAGACACAAACTCCTTCAACACAATCAACGACGACTAAAGCACCGTCTGTAACTCTTAAGGCAGCTGTGACTTCAGAACTGAAATCAACGTGTCCTGGGGAATCGATCAAGTTGATCAAAAACTTTTCTAAGGTCTTATTGTCATAAATGTCATATTCATAATAAAGAGAAACACCAGTTGACTTGATTGTAATACCTCTTTCCTTTTCGTCTTCTCTGGTATCTGTTGCTCTAGCATCACCAGCAACTTTGGAAGCGATAATACCAGCTTTGCATAACAATGAGTCTGTGAGGGTTGATTTACCATGATCAACGTGTGCAATGACAGACATGTTTCTGATGTTGTCTTATTTGTCCATGATCTCTCTGATCTGATCCACTGAAAAATTTACCATGTGTTTTTAACTTTTTAAAAAAAAGATTTAAAATTTCCCATAATTAAATCGTGGTTTTATATTAAATGCACATAAAATTAAAAATCAATAATTATTAATTTCTCACTATTATGAACATATTATACAAGCAGAATAATAGATTAGTTATATCTCTTAACTAAGAAACAAATTCATTTGGATTTTAATAATAATCTTAAATAGATGTACCAAAAACTAGAAATACTCCCTTGATTAAAAATATTAGATTATAATGTAAAAATCAATTCAGATCAAAGTAGAAGTGCTTCTTAAATTTTCACTTAAAATAAAAAATAATTATTATCAATATTTTTCACATTTTCCTGAGAGTTTCATCTTATATCGTTTTAGGAAGTGAATTAATTTATTATTATATAAAATACTTTATTTACAATTTTAAAACATAATTTAGGTATAAAATGTAGATATGAAATAATTATATCAGAGTACTTTGATGCTGTTTTGCTTTAATACGGATTTATAGTTTTTTTCTAAATTTATTGAGACTCTATTTAGAATCAAATTTCTTAAATATTCTATTTTTATATCTCAGTAAGTCATTTGCTACAGATTTTACTTATTGTTCATTAATTTAGTTGAAATCAAGTAATAGATATAATATTAATTTATAGAAATAAATGCTTAATTTTATACTACAGATATTAATAACAAATCATATTAATTTTATTTTAAATAAATCTATTCTAAAGAAAATGTTTAAATAATTATATTATTTATAATTTATTTCATTCTTGTTTTTATTCTACTTATTCGGCTTTTTCTGGCACTTCATCTTTTTTAGTTAAATGAGTCATATATTTATGCCATCTGATCAAATTTTATAGAGCAGGGTCGATGTCTTTGATCTTAGCAAATTCATCAAAATCTCTTTTTCCGACAGCATAACCATTTCCTTCCAAAAACATCTTTTCTTATAATTCTTCATTCAATTTCAAATGTGAATCATCATGCTCATGAATTTCAACTTCCACATTTGATTTAGGTGGTTTTAAGGATTCAAAGAATTTACACAATTAAGGAATAGTCAATTTACCCTAGGATGATATAAAATAATAAAATTACAATTCTAGTATTTTTTTCACAATCTCTGACATCAATAACACCGGCTTTTACTTCTTCTTCACCAATAACTCCAACAAAGTTATAGTATTAGATTTGAGCATTACGCACTTTCTTAGCAAGAGTTTAATCAGATTCATCAGTATTGACAGTGTATCCTTCAAGTCTCAATCTGGCAGCAATCTTTTCAGCAACATCCTTGTAGTAAGCAGAAACTGGACAAAGGACTAATTATTTAGGTGACAACCAAAATGGCCACTTTCCTCCACATTATTCAGTCAACACAGCGATCATTCTTTCCAATGATCCCAAGATAGCTCTATGGACAATGACTGGTCTTGCAAAACCTGCCTTTAAATGATGATATCCCAATTCGTATTTCTTTTCTAGAAAATATAATAAATGAAGTTATACCGTGTAAGACTT